CTGAAAAAGGCAGATGAGGAAAGCAACAGTTGGGAGTGAAGAAAGAATAGAAAAGATGCCTCAGTGAAGGGTGAGAAAAAAGCTTCTACCCTTTTAAGGTCCTCCGCTTTTTGTCACGCCGCCTGGGAGGAAAACAGACTCCTACTCCTGCAACAGTGACAAGATTCACATAACACTAAAAAACAGGCGCCCCCTCTCTCCCCCCCTCAAAAAAACACTCCCCACAAAAAATAAATAAATAAAATCGGAGTATTTGCAGCTAAGATTCTGTCCCTGGTTCATTACTATTCCAAGCTCTTTTTGGCAAACTGGGGGCAGAAAGAAAGAAAAAAGATATTATTCCTTTAGAAGTAACAAAAGTAACAAATCAAGTTTGCACCACAATCTAGCAGCAAAAATAGAGGAGAGCTGCTTTCAGAAACTGACATACGAAAAAGCTAATAGTTTAACTAATCAGTAAAAGGGCAAACATTAACTTGTAAATAATTCTAAAAATGAATTTCCACTTCCTTTATCATATCACCCCATGGAAACTGGACATTTGTCTGTGTTCTCTAAATATTACACTACCGTACAGTCCTTAACTAAGAAATTAGCTCTGTCTCCTTACAATTGTGATTAAACACTGAAAATGTCAAAGTACACAAATAAGAACTGGTACTCTGCTAAGGCTCAGTGTTTAAGCTTATTCTTCTAAGCACAAATACAAACAGGTATCGGGTATTTTCAGGAAACTAAACTGAAACCTATTTTATAAACATATATGAAACAAACGCATATGTGGGAAAAAAGTAAGGCTGTCAGAAGTGAGACATATTAATCTATTTCTTACATTTGCAATAAAGATATGAGGCCTGGTAATGAAAACAGACTGACTTTTGAAAAATGAGATGAAAAATACGCAGATTAAGTGGTAAAGAATTTCTAACTACTACACTTAAATCTGTATTTGAGAAGAATTCAATTTTTCACCCATTCCAATTTTCTGTTTGTCCTGCAGAAACATTAAGCTGTGGTTTACAGGCTGGGATAATTTAAAAACACAGATGTGGACTTTTCATAAGAGCTGGCAAGAACAAAGGTATGAAGAAAACTTCTACTCTTTAATTTTGAGATAAAAGTACTTTTTCCCCATAAATGAATAAAAAAATAAGCATTATTCCTCCGAATTACACGTGGCTTCATTCTCACAAGAGATTCAGAAATGAAACAGTGTTGATAAATTCCTAAATTCAGATGCTGCACTACTGCTAGGCTTCTCTGAAATGTATTTGAAATGCTAGCTAGTCAGTGCATATAGACGAGAAAACGAAACTGCACAAGACAGAGTTGTTGAACAGCAGTAATAAAATGAGCAATGAGAAAGCACTTTTGGAGTCAGTGAATTTTGACAGCCTGAGAAGTTGTAGGCATTCTGCAACATTCATTGACAGGCCAGCAAAAGGTGATGATTTGTCCTTATTGCAGAGGCAGAAGCTTGAAGACACCAGGAGAAAGCTGAAATATTATTTCATTCTAGGACTCTCCCCTAAAAGCTCCAAACCAGAAAAAAGAAATAATTAACAAAATCCTATACTAGTACAATGTTGGATATTTTTTTAGCTGAAGTATTTTTTTTCAGTATTAACTATATTATGTTGAGTCAAGTTACAGGTCTCAAGATCTCATTTGCGTTGGCAAGAAGCTCCCTGCTCATCGACAGAGAGTGGAAAAAACATTCCGCAGAGTTGCCATTGGCTCTATGTTGCAGAAACACAAGCTACAGTTTGGCCTGGTCTTTTGGCCACTTTTAACAGGAAGGAAGCCTGTAGCTCCATCAACTCTGCTAACACCATTAGGTGGTACTTGGACTCTAGGATACGCTCTGTCACCGGGAATTTACTTGAAACTAAACCCACAAAAAGAAAAAAAAAAAAAAAAAAAAAAAAAGATTTTATCACAAATAAAATAATAAGACAAAGCTACAATATTTAAAGATTAAAAGCCTTAGAAAAACCTAGCCATTCTTACTGGGAAAGAGGAGACTGCTAGGGCTCTTACAGATCCATCACTTAAAGTGCACTAATTAAAATACACCTGTTTAAAGTGTTTGAGATTCCTAAATTATCTCCAGATAATAACAAGAGAAAAATCACTGTTAACATCTCCAACTCACACAGGTCACTGGTGAAGATCTCACTGCCAGAATCTGTATGTGTGTTCTGTTGGTGAAGCGAGCTCAAGGAGCTCCTGTCCTGCTTCAAGGAACAGTTTTTCACCTGCGCTGTGTTTCAGTGATCCAGCTGGTAACCCTGTGAACAGCTGCATGGCCACAGGCTGGCAGAAGTGGCTTCCTGAACTGGTCTTACTACTTGGTTATTATAACACCACTCTTCGCCTCTCATGAAACTCTAGGTCTTTGTCCATCAGCAACACAGGTTTCAAGAACTCTTTATGCCTTCTTATTCCATACCTTGGCTGTGGTATTACGTTACACACCACACCAGTGAACGAAAGGGAAAGGATGGCAACTGCACATGCTGAAACACCACCTTCAGCATGAAGTTACAGGAGGCTGCTGAACTGATCTAGCAGCTCATTCAATGAGATCATCCAGAAAAGTGAACAGAAATCAGTTTTTCTCTGGTTAGTTTTCTGTCTTCCAGTTCACAGACTGACCAGGCTCACAAACAGGTGAAACATTATCAAAGACAAACTGCTTGTGTTGGTGAAATAAATTTCTATCTTTCCATCACAGCAAACTCTCAGACTGGCCCACATGCTCAGATGCATTGTCATTTTTTTTCTTTAAAGCTGCTATCTCATGGCTACTTTGTTCTGTGCATTCCAGGAGTATTTCATTTACGCAGATATACTGAACAAGAGGTAAAGCACTTCTCTGGTGGCAGTGAAGGCAAATTTTGCATCAATAAAACTTGGGGAAGTAGGAGCTCTTACAGAAAAAACCATCATTTTGCACACACAACTGCACTTACATTGGCAATCCCTGCAGACACACTGCTATATTATGGAAGGATTTCAAGCTGTTATGCATCAAATATAATGCAAATACGTTGGTACTGTTCACAGCCTTGGTAAGACCTATCTTCACCAGAAAAGCAAAGATAATAGATTATAGTACTGATATTTTTTTTTCATCTGAAGTGACTACACAAAAGCACTAATGAAAGAACCAATGTTTTCCTTTCAGTATGGAAACCACAGGGGTTTTCAGCCCTATGCAGAGGAAAAAGGAACAAATAACAGGTCTTTTCTCTGAACCTTGCTGCTCAGCACATTACCTGCTAGAAACATGAGGCTGGAGAAAACAGAAATTTCCCCAGTCTGAATAGCAGTTGCTCTCCTGCTGCTTACAATTTATTTTTCTTCTCCTTTACCAGACAGTATGAAAATGGAATGCCAAAAGTACTGCACTTCTTGAGGGATGGGAAAGAAACACCAAAATGTGCTTCACGTAGAGGAGCTGGTAGTCATTCTTTATGAACCCCTTTTATATCTATGTTAAGTCCTAACTCAAATACAAACATAATTTTTTACTCATTTCAACTCATTTACAAAGAAGTTCTCTCATTCCGACTCAAGCTCTGAGTGTGGCAGCACAAATGTGAGCCAGTGCCACGACAGAATTCGCAGCTCTGATACGCCTACCTCTACCCAAAGCAGCTACCAATGAACACAGGCCGGAGAGGTTCTACTTAACTAACTTCATAACTTTTGCATGAATCACTCAGACAGATTTTAAAAGTCATGTGTCAAAACAGCTAAATGAATTACCACTATTAAAGATAATACCGCAGCAAGCAGACTATTTCTTTTTTTCCCCCTTTAAGATATGCACTGTTTAAACTCACCAAAGAGCTAGCAACAGAGCAACAAATGAAAGCTAACACAAATACTTTGCTAAACATCTTTGTTTAATTCAATATATGTATATTGGTAAACCTATTTAATTTATGGGATTGCAAACTCTTCTGAGGCAGACTTAACAGATGTTTATATAGTGCCTTGTACAATACAGCCTAATCCAAGGCAAGCTGTCTAGCCAACACCAAAGCATAAATAAGATATACAGTAATCTGGTACTGGCATCTATTTCAGCAAAACAGTTTAAACAACACAGTCCAAGGAAAACAAAAGAAAACAAACCCAGCAACAACAAAAGAAACCAAAGCCCATACTCTTTTACCAAAAATCAAACACACTTCTTCTTTTTTAAGGGAGGAAAAAGACACTAACATTTTAGCTCAAGTAGCTTCTCCATAAGCCAACCAGTATTTATCAAACTAAAATGCCTCTTAAGCACACTTTTGCTGAGCCCACGCAGATTCTCAGTTGTTCACAACTGCTTAAACCTGTTAAAGAAGGCTCTCTAAAAATAAAATAACCTACCATTCCCCTTCAAAAAATGCTTTGTCCAACAAAGGGAAAGTAGCAATTTGAAGCAGATGAATGAATTGAAAGAAATCCAAGCACAGAACTCATGACACTTTATTTTTCTCTCCAGAAAGCCTGACCACAGCAGGGGCAAACTTAGCAACAGATACTCTGAAGAAGAAACAGAACCAAAAAGAAATGACAAGTGCTGAACTATTTTCTTAAGAAGGAAGATGAATTCCCAAAAAGAATGACTGGAACAGGTGAGAAGAAATGCCAAAGAGAAGTATAAACAAGAGGGCACTAATATTTGAATTGAGAAGTATACATCATGTATTTGCTAAGGGAAATGAAGAGTGAAGAAAGGATACAAACGAACAGATCAACTCTTCTCTAGATCACATACAATTATGACAGGATGAGAGTAAAACGATGCTTAGAGGAAGTAAATTCTGCATTCTACAAAATCTGCATAGACAGAGATTTTAAAAAGAAAAAAATAAAGTTGTGAATGCAGTAAAAACAGAGTACTATAAAAAGGGAAGCTCAGCACAGCAAGGAAAGAGGAGGTAGAGACTTTCTTAAGGGTTCAAACACAACATGAATTGACAAAGGATGCAAATAGATGCTGTATTACATAACTTCATTTCTTTGAAGTGTGTGGGACTTTTTCCTCTGAAGGTGAAACTGTTCATAATTTTTTCCACTTGGGGAAATCACACTCAGGACAAACATGGGAAAAGTCTTTCCTGTATTTCTAACCTTCAGTATAAAGTACAAAGCCATTTTTTTTTTTTTTTTTTTTTTTCCTAAATAGCTTCAGCAAAATAGATGATTTCTCAGGATGCACTTGTTACTCATAGCTTCTGAAGCATCTGATCAAAACCAGGTACAAATACCTCGAGGAGTGGTTAGGTGCTGAAACCATGCACTACTGAAAAAGTAAAACATAGTGATCAGCAAACAACAGTGAGTTTTCTTTATTTTTAAAAAGCAAAAACTGTAATTTTTCTTTGGGGGGGGGAAAAAAAAGCGTTCTAAAGCCCTAAGTTTAACAGCCATGAGGAATTTTTCTAATAATCACTCCTTAACCACATATTTATGCTCAATATTCGCAAAAGCCACCTATGAAAAAGGCAAAGCATCTTCTTATCCAACAGAACATATGCTGCAGCAAACAGAATTGAAAAGTTTACTGTTAATTGGGTATTTTATCAGCCTGCCAGTGTGTTCTCATCTATTTCTTTTAGCATTATCTACAAAATACAAATACTTGGTTCAAGATTCAATGAGCTATGTAAAATGTTCACTCGGAAGTGTAATAAAAAATAGGTTACTTTAGAGTTATTAAAATAATTTGATACTACTTCACAGATGCATCTATTACACTTAGGAATACATTAAATATACCACAGCATGCAAGAGCCCACACAGGTACGAACGAATTAAACTATTAACATCAAACATCTAAGTCATTTCCACTATAAACTGAGATGTAACAACGAAACAACGCTTTCAATATAAAGCATGTTGAGAATAACATGTATTCCTTGTGCAGTTCACGCAACCACTCCCTCACTGGCACGCATTCTTGCCCCATGCTGCTCCACGCAGCATGCCAGGACAGGTGTAAGCACAGTCAGGAGTTGTGCCAGGGCCATACAAACAGAAAGGCACAGAAGAGGTTTCAAGAGTGGAAGTAACATCTAACACACACCTAACAGCCACCTCACACTCAGAGTTTTTTTTAAACACTGCAGTTAAGAGTGTGCCACTGCTGCAACACGAGCTCAGCAGCCCAGCTGTCTGCCTAGCTACCTCACCTATCACTTCCCCTCTCCTTCAGCTTTCATCCTCTTAAGACACCTAACACAACACGATTTTTGTTCAGTAAACCAAAACTGGCAGATGCTGCTAGCCCTCTTGTTCGAGGAACCATCCCACGGACAGCAGGTCACTGCCCCATTTCCCACAGATCTGCAGGCAGCCATGCTGCCATGCTCCAAATGATCGCACTCCACCTCTATCCCAGCTGCCTATTATCTTACCCCCTCTCTTCCATGCACCAGCCACAGTGCACTTAACCTCTCACGTCCTCTAACTGGGGACTGAAAGAAAGGAGTACAGCACATCGTATCTAGCTTTTAACCCAGAGAAAGCTGTTTGTTTGCCAACTGGCAGGTTAAATACGGGTAAGTGCTAAATCCATGCAAAACTTTCTTCTGAAGAGACCTTCTATTCAATAACCTGAATATTCCTGTTAAATATTATTAAAATGTAAAATCCCCAAGACCTTGCCCTGTGGCTACTTTGCTGAAATTAGCTGATGAACTTAAAATTTATTAAGGCACAGGATTAAAGGAAACACAATTGCTTGAGATTTGTGTCTTTAGAAAAATAAATCAAAGATGGCTTATAATACATTACACAAATATATATTTAGAAACATGTCAACAACTTGTCTGGAGCAACACTTCTATTGTTTTTGAGCATTGTCCAAAACATTCTTCCATTCAATTTTTATGTAGCCCTCAGCATCACTATAGTTCTCCAGCGGTTTTTATTGCTTCCAATGTAGTCCATGCATCAAAGACAGTGTGAGAAGATGTGAAAAATGAAGAGGTTTGGAGTAAGCATGCAGAAGCACCTGCACAAAACTCAAGTCCAATCCCTTCAACAGCAACTCCTCTTCTTTGAAAAGTTTCGCAAAAAACAGATGCATCTCAACATCTTCTCCATGTGGCATCAGTTGATGCTGAGTTCTCAAGTTGCCAGGATTTTGTTTCCTACTATGTACAACTAAGCAAGTTTTCTTAAAAGAAATTGTTTTTACATGTTCTAGTTGTCCTTTTAATAACGATTTGCATCAGCTGACCATTTCAAAGACAATTTAAGGGAGGTGTAAAAGTCTCAAAGATTAAAAAAGGCCTTCACAGGTTTTGTGAAAACTGGAAGCTCTGCAGAGAAAAGAAACTCAAATGAGTGTCTTTGATGAGGGGAGAAAACACGTGGAAATGTGCCTTCCCACTGGCAGCCCCAGCAGCCCAACCAGTCCGTGTACACGGAACACCACAGTGCATTAAATCTGAAAGAAGCTTTAGATAAACACTCAAAGGCAGACTTAAGAACATCATACAAGTACTGAGCATGTATAGCAGCTTTGTTCTTTTTCTTGTTTGTAAATTCTAGCAAACCCAACAATATAATGACTAACGCGTGCATACTTTAATGTTTTAAGAACTACTACATGCAACCTATAATAGAAATGTAAGCTGTTTTTCTGTTGTTGTTTTCAAAATATTGTGTGCATCTCAGTCAACATCCTTCTAAATGCTAAAAGGAAGGCAAGTTTTACATCCATTCTAAAACACTGATATTTAAATAAAGGAAAAACTAACAGCCACTCATAGTACAACCCGGATCTGAATGAGCTTTAAACCACTCATCATTAAGCACAGTCAAATTTGATTTTTCTGTTCAGAATAGTAAATTTTCCATAATGGCATAATATTTGACTATACACAGCATTTTACTAGAAATATGGTGTTTTTAGAACAATTCTCTTTGTTAAGATTCTACCAGATATTAATTTAAACAGAACTATTTAGCACGGTACTATAATGCTCAACTTCTTGTCACCAAAAGATACCTCACACATTCTAAAAATATTAACTATTTAACTCACCTTAACTGCTCCTCCTTAGATCTTTTCATTCTACAACAGATGCCTTCCAAGAATAACCAGATCCCATGCAGACACAACACAGAACTCTCAACTTCAATCACGTCCAGCTACTTCATTCGGATTCACCAGACTAATTGAGAAACACCAAAATCCAAAGGCAGCACAACACGAAGCTAAAAGGAACTCTACACATCTGTATACTGTTCAGAATACTTTGAGCTCGCTGATCAATTCAGCAACAGTAAGTCAGTCATTCTACCACAATTCTAACAAAAAAGTCTACAAAAATTTTTGTTAGAGACAGCATTAACCAATCACAGTGATTTTTCTGGTAAGCATAATTAAGAGAGGGAGAAACTGAAGCAACTGTTATAATGAAACCTCCAGCTGCAATTATGAGTTTAATAAAAAATTTAATCCAACTGTGAATCCAACAGCTTTCTCACTCACAGTTGACTTCAAGTATGGAGAATCCCATCAGGATTGGTTTGCTAATCAGCATTCAAGACGTTTTGGAGCAGTCACCATTATTTGTCCTGTTTGAACTACAAAGTATACACTTTTCCAGTGGAGATAATCTACTATGCAACTGAAGAGAAAAAAATGCAAAACCTGAATCACTGTACACATTAGTGGAAAAAAAAAAGTTAACTTTCAGTTCAATCATTTAAATATTTGAGTTTTGAGTATAGCTTTAAAAAAATCCAGTTCTGAATCACTGGAATTTTTGTTCTATTTCCTGTAAAAGCACCAACAGCAACATCATTCAGCATTCCGCCTGCAACAGTTCAGAAAAGATCAGCCTGATCCCTCAGTCCTAAATTTACAGTCATTTTATAAACTCGAGGTCACATCTGACCAACTTATTTCTTCCAGTGTTTCCAACCAGAGATCACAGTAAGAGGGAGGAACGTGCCACAGGATGAAGAACAATCTAGTTTTATGTTTCAAAGTACTCACTCTCACAAAGAAAGTTTGCCAAAAGCTCTTAAAGCTCCCTAGCAAAAAAAATAAAAAATAAATTAAAAAAAGTATATTATTTTCTGCAAACTTATCTCTTCAACAGATGACAGGTTTGATTCTACAAGGCTTGAAAAGCACACTAGTTATTCATGAAACCTTTATGAAACAACACAGCATCTCAGTCTATGAAGCAATGCCACGATCAAAAAGAAAAAAACTACTTTCTTCCATCCTGTCACTGGATGAGAAATTTCTACCAGGTCACTACAATAGGAAGAATGTACATTTTCAAGAAGTCTATTCCTATCAACGTATTTAGAGGAAGAGAGAAGAACCCATTAACTCCTATTGGAATGGGAAATGCTTTACATTTCACAAGAGCGAGGGTAGCATATGAAGAAGATGGCACTGCCCACGCAGGTAATGATAGGAAGGATGCTCTATCAAGCATCTCTCAGTCACAACACTGGGATTACGCAAACTCCAAGTACCTCCTCCAACAGCTTTTCTCCCCCTCCCCTTCTGCAGGCTCTCCCATGAAGCAGCATGAGAAACAATGACCCAGGTCTTCTCAGCTTATGAAAGAAACTGACAACCAGCTCAGCTATAGCACAGGTCAAAGTACTATCTACCTTGAGTCTCCAAAAGCTTAATATGTGAGTAACTTCAGCAGCTGCAATGACTAAAGTCTCATTTAAATTGCAGAGTAGAGCTTACTGAGGCTGATGACACATATGTCTCCTAATCTCTCAGTGGAACTCCCCTCTTGCCAAGATCAGAATTTTGAGTTTTGATTGTGCCCAATTACAACAATACAGCTAAAGAACAAATTAGTGAGATATCAATACAAAATGCAAATGCCTGCTTATTCAGTAAATCATTGGGTAAACTGAAAATGATTCCCAATTTCAGCAAATCACGGCCACGCTACTGATATAGTAGCTAGCCCTCCCCACCATATGCACACGCAACACAACTCCAACATCTATGGTTATGATGGAAAACAAGTTCAGAAGTCCCAAAGAAAGACTTTAGCATTTATCTTTCACATATCTGTACAACGAAAACAACGTGCAACACCATTTTCAGCTCTCTACAGACGAGCCTCAGCCAGTGCTTTTTTCAACCCTTATCAAATACCCTTAAACTAAGGACCGCAAACCAAACCTGAGATCCACTCCTTGCAAGGAAGCGTTTCTGGGGATTATAGGCATGTACTTGCTGATACCGGCACGGAAACACCTCCGGGCCTCGGGCACAGGGCTGGGTCCGCCGAGCCGCCCAGCACAAAGAACACGAGGCCCTGCCCCGAAGGCCGCCCAGCAGCGAACAGGACGGGGCGCTCAGACCACCGACACAGCCTCTCAATGAATGAGACCGAGCGCTACACACCTCCCCACTGCCTTCCTAACTCTCGTGGGGGGACAAAACAAGAGAAAAAGCCAACCGGACTCATCTCTTGTCTTGCAAATCCCTCTTACGAGAATCGTTTCAAGAATTCCTTCCGAACAATTAAATCGAGTTGAATAATGGAAACCGGAGGTGGACTATATAAGGCCTCGGAGCCCGCAGACCCCGCGGCTCAGCCCCAAATGGCGGAGCCTCGCCCCGCAGCCGCGCACCTGTCACCTGCCGCCCCGCCACGCACGCGGGTCTCCCGCAGACGCGGGGGCGACACGCAGAGCCGATCCCTCCCCGCTCGCCAAGGAAAAAGAGTTTCCACCTCCCGCGGCCGCCCCGCGGCTCGCTCGCTCCCTCCCCCTCCACCGGGAGGCCGGGCTCCCCCCGCCCGCCGGGATGCGGGGCGCCGGCCGCCCCCTCCCCGCACCGAGGCCCGCCCCGGCCTCGCCGCGGGGCACGGGGCCGCCCCGGAGTCTTGGGCCTGCGGGCCGAGCCGCGCCGCTCCCCGCAGCCCCCCGGGGAGGGGAGCGGCCCCGCGGCGGAGCCGGCCCCGGTGAGCCCCCAACAGGCCCGCCTCGGCGGGGTCTGCCTTACCCTTCTGCCGCCTCTCCGCCTCCTCCTCCTCCGCCTCCTCCTCCTCCTCTGCCGCCGCCTCCCCCACCACGGCAGCCGCCGCCACTACCGCCGCCACCGGCGCCGCCGCCTCCCGGCAGGGGGGACCCCGCCGACCCGAGTGCCGACCCGAGCCGCTCCGCCGCCGCTCCGCAGCCTCCCGCCGCCGCCGTTCCGCTGCGGGGGGGAGAGAGGAGGAGGAGGTGGCCGAGGAGAAGGAGGAGGGGGAAGGGAGGGGGGGTCCGTGCCGTCGCCGCAGGCGGGAGAAGCGGGGAGGCCGGGGGTGGCTGAGTGTCTGCGGCGCCGCTCCCGTCCTCCGCTGGAACCGCTGCGGCTCCGCGTCGCTCCCGGCCCCCCCTCCCCCCGCTCGCTGCGCTCCAAATCAAAATAGTGTCACAATATGGCGGCGGCGGCGACGGGCCAGCATCGCGAGATCGAGCCCCGAGCGCTAACGGGATGCGGCGCGCGCGCGAGGGGAGGGGGCGGGCCTTGCCGCGCCGATGGGGGCAAGGCCTCCGCCGACACCGCCCCGCCGAGGGGGTTGGCCGCGCGGAGCGGACGAGGCTGGGCGGAACGAACGGCGCGGCGGTTCCCGCTCCGCCTCCCCGGCACGCGCGGGGAGTGACGCCCACCGGCGGCGCCGCCTCAGCGCATCGCTGGGGGCCGGCCGCTGGAAAAGGGGAGCCCCGCGGGAAACGAAGCGCCGCTTTGAGGGAGCCGAGGGAGGCGAAAAAAGGAACTGGAAAAGGCTGGGCTTGAGAAAAGCCCCTCTGCGTGTGAAACAGTTGTTCTGAGAGAGGAGAGCCAGGCACTTTCTGTCAGAAATACTGGTGCCAGCCCTTAACCGTCTAAATGCTTCATGCACAGTACGTGACTTCTGTTGTTGCTCTGAGATACGGCTCAGCGTAACTCTTCCCGAAGTACCCGTGAGCACGGCGGGACTGCACGCGGATGGCCGGGCCCTGCTTCCCTCTCCGCGCCCGCGGGTGGGATCACACCCTGCCTGAGGAGCTGCGGGGCCCGCGGTCCCTCCGTGCCGAACTCACATCCGTCCTCCATGGAAAGGGCAGCCATCCCTAGGCTCGCTGTGACACTCGTGTCGGTCTTTGTATTTCATCTTAAATGAAAAGACTGCCAGATGAGTTTATAAAATCATTACAGTTGTCAGTTGTTTTTCTTGTTTGGTTGTTTGTTTTAATCAGAGCGTGATAAGTTACATCACTGACTCTTCCTCCACTTCCTTTCTTTCCACATCTCTCATTTTCCTTTCTCCGTGCCGTCCTTGGCAGGTGCTGACCCATGGTGTTTCGCAATGGACTGCCTATACACTGGTTTTAGGTAATCCTCATCTGCAAAGTTACAAGCGCTTTAAAAAAAAAAACAATAATAAAAAAATCAACCTTTATAATTGGTAGCGGGGCAGAACTGTCCCTCTGTACCTAAAAGGGAGCCCGGCAGGGAAAAGAACTTTCCGATTTCCCATTACAACAGTAGAATTGTCCAGAAATCAGTGCAGTTTTGTTCTAATTCCCTGGGGAGCCAGTGATTTCCAGTGCCTACCAGCATATGAAAGGAACGGCGAAACTGCTTGACTGCCACCCTTCAAAACCATCTCTCTCCTCTGCCATTCTAAACCCTTAAAAGTTGCAATAGCCTCTGTAGTGGTGCAATGAGAAAGGGCTCTGATTTCTTCACAGGACATCAGTTGAGAGATTGGCCAATTGACATTTGTGAAATAAAATGACAGACTAATGGAAATAATAAAAAAAAATAGGCAGGAAGCAACTTCTGACATGATTTGGGCTGTGTCTAGTTCCAAGGAATGAAACTAACCTTGATGTTATAACAATGAATATTTTCCAAATGAAAGCACTAACACAGAAAACACCCACCTCAACTGCATTTAGTTAAAATTGCCATAGAACTCCAGGATAAGCAGTAGCAGAGACTATTTTACTTCGATGTAGCAGACAGGGACAGAGAAAACACACCAGTTGTGAGATGTTATGTTAGGAGGAAAAAAAAAAAAAAAAAAAAAAAAAAAAAAAAAAAAGAGGACAGTAGTCTCCCCCCCTCTAAAATACAGAAATATGGGTGTACATATACATTTCAGTAAGAATTAGTCATTTTCATATGCTGCAACAGAGAAGTCTGCAGTTCTGTACATGAGCAGTATGGATACATGAAGTGTATCCAGAGGTTATTACCCAGCCTCCTTGAGTCAAGGTTATACAAGGCTGAGAGTCTGATGGAATATGTTCATGGTAAATAAATAAAAAAAATCTCTCGCCCAAACCAACCAGAACTGAATGTAATCTCTTCCAATTATGGGCAGTGGTGTATCTAGAAAAAAGACACAATGGAAACATCTGATCACAAAGAACGGTGCCTGTGTTGATCCACTGTAATTGCACATTTATATTAATCACTTCTTCTGCAACTTGTGCTGTAGACTCTCGTGATACGCTCAGTCATCTACTCAGGCACACTGCTGTTCAACTCTTCCAGCATAAGTGTTTCAAACTGCTAAGCAGTACCTGACCTTTCAGACAGATGTGATAATATCCTTAAATGAATAAGTCTTCTGCTTTAGAATTTGAGTTTATTTTGCTAAATACCGAGGTAAATATTTGATCCTTTTTGCCTGCAGTTGCTAAAACAGGGATTTGCCACAGGAAAGTGAAAGCTCATCTCTCACAGCTCCATCAGCACTATTTGCTGCAGTGCTTAAGCACTGGGATGTGTGATTGAGCTGCTCTTTTTTTCCCCTTCTTTCCAGACTCTGTTCTCATTACATCTGTACGTTGGCCTGTTGCTAAAATTGCTCTTCTCTATTGCACCTAATTTGAAATCATTTTTGACACTTTCCCAAAGGCAAAAAATGATGTATTTAAGAAAATCATCCCTTATATTGATATTCAAAAATAATGTTTTCCTGTATATCTGTAATAAGAAGTAGGAAGATAAATCTAATGTTAAAATCAGGGTGTACCTCCCAGAATGATGTAAATCATGGCTTCAGTCATCACTGACGTGTAGGCAGCTGCCTGCCCAGTAGCACGATAAGTTCAGAGCCTCACCTCTTGCTATGTGTTTTAGTTATCACCCATTTTCTTAGGCATTCCAAAGCACAAGTTCACATTTTTCAAGCCTTTGTCAGACTTTATATTATTCACATATAGAAACTGAAATTATAAATTGGATTGAGAATTACTCTAAATATTTTGTACAGGAAAACTGCTTCTGCAAAATTCAGTGGATTTTATGAGCTCAACACAGGTATTTCTGATGTTGAAATCTCCTGAATAGTATACAACAGAAAAGAGGAAAAAGTGCAGTTAAAACTCAATCCACAACAACTGGCGTAATTACATCTGAAGTGAGTTTAAAAATAGTTTTCTGCAATGGAAAACAGTGACACTGACAGCCTTAAAAAATATATCACTTTACACTTAAACAGTAACTTCGCAATTTCATTTCCATTTTTCTAGACAGAAAGTCTGTCAGTCTTCAGGTTGATAAAAACCGAGGTTGGATTCAATGTCCAAAGGAGAGTCCTTGACAGCCCCCAGTTTGAGGTTGGACATGCAGCTTCCTCTATAAAGACAATTAGATAATACTAACATGACAAGGAAATACAGAAATTCACCTTATTTCACAATACTCATGTGCTGTGCTTTTTCTGCTCTATCTAGACATCATCAGCTGTGTGCCACTGTAAAAGGACTTGCCCAGGCTGATGTAAGGAAATGGATATTGCTGGATTTGAAAGGGAATTCAGCCACAGAGCATCAGCACACATCCAAAGCTGTGGTCAAACACAGCACTGGTTTGCTTAAGTGAAGGTTCTCAGAGTTTGTCTCTCCCATGTACCATCTGAGTGCTCACACTATGTAAAGCTTAAGAAAAAAAACCAAACCAACGAACAATACCTTTTTTCTTCCGGTGTTGAATGTGTGAAGTTACCAGTGTTTCCTTGGAGGGGTGTATTGGAAACTCAGTGTCAATACTCTAATTTAGTTCCTTTTCTTTGTGTTATAAATATCAGAGTAATCCTAAGCCTTAAAACAAAACAAAAAAAAAAAAAAAAAGAAAAAAGAAAAACAAAACCCAAATCCAAAACACTTTCTTCTTAAATCAGAAACAGCTCTAGCAGCTCAGAATTTATGAAAAGTCTTAAAATAACAAACAAGTATGATCATTCAAGTAGAAGAAAATGTTTTGATTAAAAAAAAAAATGGATTTCAGCTCAAGTTATTCAAAGATTATAACGAACTCTAGATGATTGGGTTGCATGTGTGTGCCTTTAGGAAAAGCTGTTGTCCCCGATGTTCTCCTTGTCAACCCACAGCACGCAAACAGCTGGGCTATCACTGTTGAGACTCCCCTGGTTTTCTTGGTTGCTCCCTTCCTTTCTTCAAGATAGCACCAGCTTTTTCGCTTTCTCACAGCTCATCTATTTAGGAGTACAGAGCAGACATGACGTTTGAGATAAGGATGTGATTAAGAGGTTCATGAGTTCTAGCAGCCTCACAAGATTTGGATAAGGAAGGCCTCCGCTTAAGGGAAATCTATTGAGAGG